ACAAAATATTTCCATTTTTCATTCCATTTTCAGTGGTTTTCACTGAATTAATGCTATGAGAGATTTGTGTAGCACTGTCTGCATATTGAAAGCCTGAACAGTATTCAGCTGCCAGAGTCACTGAATTGTTCCTCCAGTTCACATTCCACAGATATGGTAGCTTTAAAAATAGAAAATCCATAACTGACTTGAAAAAAATAAATTAAATTAGGTCTTGTTTCGAGGTTCAAAATTTACATATGCATACCCCTGAATGAGGACTATATCCTTTTTTTTATTGTGGCAAATAACAATTCCTTCAGTTAATGTTCAGTTAACATTCTTTCAGGATTCCCCCCCAGAGCTTTCTTCTTTCCCTGAGAGTGCTTTTTTGGTTGGCTTTATATATATATATCTTTATAAACCTGCAAAGGCAGGGCAAGTTTGTTTTGTGTCCTCTAAACTTACAAGGTTTCCTTTATTTTAAACAGATCAACCCAACTGAAAATATTTGTCTTGGAAATTGCAAATTTCAGTCCTTATTTTTCTTCTGCAAACACCCACTAAATCCCAGATTGTTTTGGCAACTTACCATTTGTAGAGCTGGACATGATAAAGCAAACACAGTCGTACACAGAAGGATTTTCTCGGATCCTCTCCACCCAGATATTGGCCACCTCAGGCTGGGAGAGGCAAGTTAACAACAACCTAGGCAAGAATTCCCCATTTAACAAATTAGAAGTCAGTTCACTCCTTTTAGCTGCACAAGGGTCAATCCAAAATAATGACAGTGGAAACAGAAACAGGAATCTTACTCACAGCAAAGTGATTCCACAACAATGCAGAAACAATAGAAGGAAAGGATGAGAGGATAATAAAAATAATGAGTCTACTTGAGTTTTCTCCCCAGGCCTCAGAACACAGCAGAACTACACTAACGATGCATGAATTTCTGAGATGTCCTACCTGCTTGTTTCCAGAAGGGTTGGAGAGTCTGAATCACACAAACGTTGCAGTAACACTTGGCTTTAAGGAGAAAATGCAGGGGAAAAAAGTTAGTAAAATCCATCTTTATTTTTAAAAAAGGTATAAGAAGGTTAATTTCACAACTGCAGCCATGTTCTGAGATTAAAGCCAGCTTTTCCTAACTTTGCATGCACATCCAAGCGTCTCAAGACCACCAAACTTTGAAACTAACTTGACTGGTGATTAAAAATCCCCAAAATTAGTGGTCTGTGTCCTTTATTCCTTTTCTGAGCACTTCCCACACAAACACAGTCAGCCAAAAGTTATGAATGAAGATTAGGCTTGGCAGGCAAGCTTAGATCCTCCTCTAACATGAATTTCCTGACTGTGAGTCCAGACAAGCAGTACCTGTTCATGTACAAAGCACGCAGACACTTACCCAAGATTCTCATCTTTGCTAATGGACATGCAGATGTCCTGGAAACAGGCCATATTCCCTAATATTCCCACACAGATTTCCTGGAAAGTCAAAACACAGTATAATGAGACAACTGCAAGTCCACAATTTCACTTCCAGAACCATAAGATGTAAGAGAAGTTCAAAGATGTTTTCCACTTTGATTTCCAAGCTTGTATGACCCATTGATTATGTGAAAAAGATACAAATTTTTCTAGATTCCATACAGATTTTTCTGTACTATTAGACAAGCCTAAAATACACTCAGGTGCTATGCAGATATTTAGGTGTTAGGGTGTTCCATAAAGGCAAATGTATCTTGAAATCAGCTCTGCTTGCATATTCTTTGTATACTATATTCTTTGTGTACTTTTTTTATTCTAATTTGACAACCCTGTTGTTAAAGCAAAAAGGAGTCCTAAGACAAAAATATCACTACGTAAACATGACCCTCACTGATATTCACTTTCTCACAAAAGAAAGGGATCTTAATACAAGCTTCCAGCAAAGCCCATTTTCTGATTAAAGAGATCTAAAATAAAATAATGAACAAACCCCAAAGCAGTGCATCCCATTAGGATATTCATGCCAAGATTAAGAGGATGCACACTTTTGTAAAGGAGACCATGAGAGCTCTGCAGGTGACTGGTGCTAAAACAAAGTGAGTCATTAGTTTGCAGCAATTTAAAGTCAGAAATCAACCTTCTCCACTAAGGTTGCCTTCTTAATTATTAACATGTTATCATTACCTCTGCTAAATTACAGCAGGCAAAACACTACTTCATTAAAGTATCTGTGACAGCCAGTTTTCACTCTTGCAAATTTGGGCTGTACTTTCCAAAGACAAAGTACTAAACTTTCAAAGCTCTGTTTGTCTCTACTCATCTCCTGGAGTAAAGCATCTGGTACCTTCTCAGAAAGAGGATTTACATCAACACTGAATACCTTTGAAAATCCTGTCTTGAGTCCTGCAGTGCACTGTGTAGCACAAGCTGGAAATCAGTGACATCAAAACAAGTGTAAAATTAAAAAAAGTTAAACTATCGGTGCCTTAACAATTCCAAAGATTACTTTCTGTAATATTTTTGTTTTATTTTTCACTATCTTATTCTGATTTGTTTGGTAATAGATTAATTTCCCCAAGTGGAGTCTGTTTTGCCCATGACAAATCAGAGTGATTTCTCCCTGCCCTTATCTTGACCCATGAGCCTCTTGTTGTATTTGCTCTCCCCTGTCCAGCTGAGGAGGGGAGTGACAGAGCAGCTTTGGTGGGCATCTGACCTCCAGCCAGGGTCAAACCTGACCCCAAACACTTCTGTAGGTCTGACTAAACAAATTCATGACCATTTCTGTTCAGTAATCATAAAACAAGTCAAAAGGAAAAAAAGGCCAGACTTCTGGGTTTTATAACAGGTCTTACAGCTATGTTTGATAAACTCAGATCTTCGTCAGTGTATTTAGATGAGGATGTGTGAGCAGACATATTCCAGCTTCAGCATCACCAAAATTCTTACTGATTAGACCATGTCAAAAATAGAATGAAAAAGCATTTTAAAATTTGATTTTGCATTTTCTCCTGGTTCTCCCTATACATTACACATGCAATGGGAGAAGGGAGACAAATGTAAATGCATGTACAGAGCTATCTACTATTGCTCTTAACACAGGACAGCTTTTTGACACCCCACACTTACAGTTAGGCGAGGGCATTTGGACTTGGCAAAAACTCCCATGAATATATCAGGGGCATTGAACTCCTGAAGAAATAAAGCAACATCCTGTAGAGAAATGAATGGAGAAGTAAATGGACCTCTACAGTTTCCAAATGCAAAATCAAACGTGTTCTCATAGCACAAGGGCTGGATCAAAGAAATTACAAACTCACTACAAGAAATTTGTTACCTGCTAACACTTAATACAAATAATCTTTGTTTTTCAATGAGAGAAGGCCAGAAATAGGCATACTGGTGATTCAGTATGCCAGTGACTTGCTGTAGAACGAACCAAAAAGTCACATTTTCAAGAAAATGCAAATTCTTATCTCAACAGAAATAGACACTCAACCAGAATTCAGTAAATATCACGTTTTAGGGCATGACATCACCATGACATATAAAAAAGAAGCAAGTGAAAGGATTGCCATTAGCATTTGATCAAAACATAAAAAAGAGGAAATTTCCTCCTCATTTTACCACATTAAAACACAAGATTAGTTCTTTATTTGGGAGTTAAAGGCCCATGTTGCATGTTTATTTAAAAAATCTGAGCAACAAGGCAGGGAATAAAATAATACTACTTAAACAGATATAGATAGATATAGATATATTTTGAGAATTTGTTCCAGCATTTGAGAATGCTGAGAAAAATACCAAGAAGCTGTGTTACATTGCCACTGCAAGTCTGCAGCTAAATTTTGAAGGGCTGTTTAGCTATCAGAGAAAGTTATGCTTTCCAGAAGGACGCATGTCAATTGCTAGAGGAAAATGTTCCTGTTTCGCGATGGCATCAATATTATGTCCATAATCCAAATGCTGAAGACACAGACTGCGCACCCCAGTTAATTCCAGCTGCCGCCCTGCTCCTCTCCGAGCGCAGGCTCCACGGGGAGCCCGTTTGGTGCCGCCCCAGCCCAGCTGTCCTGCCTCACCCTGCCCAACACCCCCAGAACCAGCGCGCCGGCTGCTTCCCTGCCTTCTCCCACTGCCGGCACGATTCTGACGGGCCCCGAGGTGCCGCACGAGGCTCCTACCTCGTCCATCGACATGTCCCACACTTTGCAAATGTCATTCTCCATCTCCTCGTCCAGCTCCGTGCGGGGTCCCCCGGGGCTGGCGGCGGGATCCGGCTCCGCGGGGGCGATGACCTGGGACACAGCGGGCCGGGGGGAAAACGACCCGGCTGAACCCCCGGCACCACCCGGGAGCTGCTGGCTTCCCAGGTGTTTTCCCACTATATCCCCGCTGGGCCCCCGGATTTGTCCCCTGTGAGTCCCCGCTCTGTACCCGGCTTTATCCCCGCTGGTCCCCGGGTGTCCCCCCCCGGCCCTGGGAGCGATCGCGTCGCACCCACCCGGCGTTGACCGACACCGGGCCCGCCGCCCCCTCCTTCCCGCCGGCCGCGCACCTCGATGAGGCGGGTGAGGACGCTGAAGAGCCAGTGTTTGCTGTACACCGTGTTCCCCACCGCGTCCCCCTCCTCCTCCTCCGCATCGCTGCACGGCGGCGACGGGTTGCGGTCCATGGTGGCCCCACAGCCGTGCGGGGGCAGCGAGGCGGCGGCGCGGCCAGAGCGGCTCCCGCGGCTCCACAGCGCCGTCTGCCCGCCGGCGGCCCCTGCTGCACCGCTGGGGCGGCGCCGGGATCGCGCTGGGATCGCCCCGGGACCGTGACGGGATCGCGCTGGGATCGCACTGGGATCCTGCCGGGACCCACCCGCCCAGGGCCGCCCCTCCGCGGGGAGCGGCGCCCGCGCTCCGGAGCACCCGAGGGTCCCAAGGGGGACCTTTTGGCAGCCCCCGTGATACCCCGACACCGCCCCCGGCCCGCAGTCCCGCGCCCCGGGAGGATGGATGCTCGCAGGGAAAGGAACAATTCTCAGGAGGATTTCTTTATTCGGCTGTACAAAAGGAGGAGTGACAGGAGCGGCGTACAGCGCTAGTACTTGCTGGGCAGCCCCTTGGGCCGGTAGCGGTTCGGGTCCCCGCCGTTCCGGCCCCACGCGTTCGCCTCCTGGTCCGCCCGGGTGTCCTCGGCGCCTCTGCCGCCGAAGCTCTGCAAGCTCTCCCGGGCGTCGCTGTTGGGAAGGAGAAAAGGCCACCTGAACAGACTGCATCTAACTTAGCCTCGTGTCGGTTTCCTCACTCATTGAAACTGCTTCTCCGCAGAGCTTCTCAAGGTGAGATGCAAGCACACACTCGGCCTTTGTCTGAGAGCCCGCGCTGGAATCCATAACTGTTTTGTCAGAAAATGAACCAGCAATGAAAGAGAGTTCCTTATCAGAAATGCAGAGAGAACAATCTGCCTTCTCGGAAGGACAAAAAGAAAGGCTCGTGCTCATGTGGCACCATTCCTACAGAGACTCGCTGTCCAGATGGGAACTGCTTCCCCTCCCTACTGCTGCCCTTCCAGGTGCAAAGCTGAGTACAAGTCAAAAAGGACCTCACTCCAGCTGGACTGCCTGGATCCCTAATCACTCACTGCTAACAAGCCAACCACACTCCATTACCTGATCACTCTCGCTGCCCAAGCACCGCCAGGTCCTCTACGGGCAGCATCGTAATTCCCACGGGCATGGAAATACTTGTCAGCACCTATGTAATTTGCCTCGCGCATGTCCAGATATGCTCTGAGCATATCCCGTGCCCCTGAAAAAAGCAGAGAAACAGAGATTATGTTAACTTGAAAGAGTCACACCAGAAATAGTTTGGTACCATTTCAGCCAGGAGCTGAAAGGCCCAAGGAGCAGCAACAGAGTGAGGCACTGCTCCTTATCAGCCTTTGCACAGGGCTGTGCCCACAGAAAGCACCTGTGGGGCTCATCAAGGCCCTCGTCCAGCACCAGAAACCAGAGGGATCTCTAAAGTGGAGCTGTGGATTTCCCAGCTCAGGGCTGCACCATTGACTGCTGGTAGCCTGTGCTTGGGGAGGGGGTTCCTGAGGGAAGGTAACAGCAGCTCACCTCCCGCTGCATCCCGGACAAATTGTCCAGCTCGGATTAGTCCTTGGACCATCCCTGGTCTGTCAGCACTTGCACACAGAACAGTGGAGAGCAACGCGATGCAGACCCAGAGCCTCATGGTTCCTGGCCAAGCCTGACAGCAAGCTGGGAGACAGTGAGAGAGATGAACAATTCTGGAGCACCTTTGAGAACCCACCACACCCCCAGGTGTGCCTGGGCTGCTGCCCCAGCACTGAAGGCTTGCCCAGGACCCCCTTCTCCCCCTGCAAGGAGTGGTGCCCTCTGTGCAACCACAAGCTCCACAACAAAAGCAAGTGCACATGTGAGCATTTTAGCACTCCCTACTGCTCCTGTCATGAGTAAGAAAAAACCCCACATGCTAAAGCATTGGTCCTGTTCCCAAATACCAGCTGCAAAACACTGCACACAGCTCACAATTCAGAATATCACTCACCACTGCAGAACGGCAAAGCCAAAGGAGATGGAGATTGTCTCGTGGGCTCTCAGACTCAGAGAGGGTATTTATAAACAATTCAAATCTCTCAAAAGAGGAAACTGGAAAGGATACCCATGGTTGGGAAATCCCCACCAGCATTACCAACACAAATCGTTACTGGAAACCTGTCCTTGTCCTTATTGAAAGTTCATAGCTCCTGTTACACAATTTTTTAGAGAGTATATGGCACTTCTTCAGCTGGCCTTAGGACTATTTGTTCCTCTTACCAACCAGGCTGACAAACTGCCTTGAAGACTAAAGAGTTCCATGTGCTTGAAGGGCTACTGTTGTCTTAAGGGTGACACTTTTGTTTGTATCTTGGACTGAAGAGAGCTCAGAGGGGAAGGTGCCTGGCTACCTGCACACTGAAACCTTGTGTCTGTGCACAGGGAGCAATGAGCTGTGTTAACCAGAAGGGCTGCAGGAGCTGGTAAGGGAAACTCCCATGCGTGCCGGGATTGCCAGGTGAATCCCAGAATTAATGAAATGGAAAATGTGAAGTACTGCTCTTAACTCCGTTGCAAAGCAAACCACATACACCTACATCCCTGCTGACAATGCTCTAAGATAGCACCAACACACAGACCTTCAAGAGGCTCTGAATGACTCATTTTGCCTAAGGGGAAATTCAGATCCATACAGCCACAATTCGGCTAGATTTTAAATCAGCTGTCTGGCCCTATTGGCACGGTTCACCATTTAAGTACCCACTGTGCTCCCCCTGCTTAAGCCTTCTCGCCTCCCTCAATTAACAACTTGACATAACCCTTTCCCCTGCAGAAAACTCCAGGGTTGAGTGCAGTTGCACTGGAGAGTGAGTGTGCAGGAAGTGTCCCCACTGTATGGCCTTGCACATGATTTAGCAGGAGAGCACTTTACATTCCCCTCAGAAGAGTTAAGGGTAGCTGAACCACTCACAACTCTGCTGCTGTAAACAATTTGCTCTTGGAGCTGCAGGGCAGAAGCATGAGTTGAAAGAAGTGCAATAAAAGTAAAAAAGTGTTCACGGTAACTTCCTCTGGAGTTACTGGGCTACAGTCAAAAAAATTAGCTTAAGAGGAGGGGAGACATTTTCCATAGGCAGACCTGAAGCAAAAGATACTCTGTAGCATGATGTATCTCAGACTGGAATAATTTGCAACAGGAACTTAAACCCTTACGCAATGGACAAGGAAACCTTGCAAAAAGCAGGGAGGGGACAGATTTTTGTTCCCTGGCTCTCCTGGAGCCGGTACTCAACAGTGTACCAGCTCAGTTACTGCAGGGACTGGACTGCTGTGTTTTGCTGCAACTCAGTTCACATTCTCACCACCTACGTCCTCGCAGCACTTCAGACAGTTCAAGTGCCTTCTCTGCTGGCTGCAGGTAGCCCTGTCACTTTTTTGGTTTTTAAAAGACAAGGAAAATGATTCCTTTAAGTTGGTGTACAGGCATGTGGCACTTTGCCCAGGGACTTAAAGCATTGCCTTCAAAACTGACCTAAGGAATTTTTTCTCTACAAGAGATCACACCCTTAGGACCATAGAGGACATTTTGAACCTTACGCTGTTTCACATGCTCTCCGAAACAACATTTCCACAAAACATGAGGACAATTGCAAGAAGGCAGGTGCTGGAGGGATTCTTTAGAACATCTCAGAGTACATCCCCTGGTGTGTAGCAAGGGGGACAGCAGCAGTGACAACAGTGCTGGAGCTCCCCATGGAACTGGGATAAAGCTGCAGCTTGGGGCTCCAGGGAGCAGCCTGAGCCCTGCTTTCCCATATCCTCTTGTCCTGCACTCCAGGTCATGACCTCTGGCTCACAGAAATGAGCTGCAGCCAACTGTGGCTTTCGCAAGAGAAAGAGGCAAAGCTGCCTGGAAGTGTGGAGGAGGGTTTGATCAGTATTTCTTCCTAGCAATAAATGCTGGCAGCATGTGTACACTGGGAAACACAACACACTGAGAAGGGCCTGGAGACCATTTCTTGGTTTGTACATTCTGATGCAGTTAAGATAAAAAGCAACCCCATAGTGGTTGCCCTTTAACTGTAAATATCTATGAATGCAAGCTATGTTACACAAACACTCCATAGTTTTGCAATCTAAGAAAGACTGAGAAAGGGGATGAGCTGAATTCCCAGCTCAAGCACATTAATATTTGCCATTATTTCCTTATCTGGGAAAGAATAGTACCTTATTTAAGTTTATTTGTACAATAATTCATTTCAGGAGTTTTGCCAAGTATGGAATATACACGACAAGTGACCTTTGGCTTATAGACATGGAGAATGACTAGAAACTTGTTTCCTTTCAAGAAGCAGATAAATATCTGCATTTTCAATCTGAAGTAAAATTGATTTACCCATAGGTTTCTAATAATGAAATAATGTATGATACTTTTTTCTTTGAAAAAAAGGAAAATTCCACCACCAGTTTTTATTTAAAGCTGTTCTAGGGTAAATCCCCTTTACTCATCTTTGCTTTTCAAGGGTGTCTCCCACCAGTCACCCACAAAAAATGAAGCTGAGCTGCAGCTCATCTTCCCCATGAGGCTGGCTAAGATGTCAGTGGTATGTGGTCAGCTGGCTGACAGGGGCCTTGCTCTGTACAACTGAGGCAGTTTCTGTTTCAGTAATTTCTGAACAGAAGACCCTCTCATTTCACAGTCCCTTCACCCTACCCCTACAAGATGAAAACAAACTCATCCAGAAAAGGAAACATTCATTTTCCACTCTTAAGAGAGTAAACCCTCACTCTTTATTGACGACCAAGTTAGTTGAAATGATAAACACAACTCACTTTAGACACAAAATCTGAACACACACTTGCCATTATGTTACCTGTATGAGTCATCCGACATTGTTTTTTTTAAAAAAAAGCTCTAACTGGAATTACGATTTAAAAAAAAAAAAAAAAAAAGCCCCAAACCTCAGTCAAAGTTAACCAAGTGTACAAAACTCCCACAGAAGTAAGAAAGAGACTTATGTGTACACAAAACACACCAAGTGAATAAGGTGGAACCATACGGAGGTAAGCCAGGCACATTCTCAGAAATCCAGGAATTCCTCCGAGGAAGGCAAGGGGAGCACCCAGCTACACCACACACTGCATGAACCCGATGTAGGCAACTGTGGCAGCCCCTGAGGCAGCAGCAGCTCATCTGGCAGGGAAGAGAACAGGCACCAACACCATCTGGTAGGTGCCTGGCTCCCATTCCAAGTCTTACTGTGAGAGCACGGAGTATTCCTGATGGTACAGATCCTTCTATTTCCAACGGCAGAATCTAAACACCAGAAGCTTTAAAGTTTTCTTTTTTAGAAATAGTTCTGCATTGGCTTTTCCACAATGCTTTGGATGAAAGCCTGACACTCATTGTCTCCCTGGAACTTCCCTTCCTCTAGAGAAATAACCAACCGTCCACACCCAAGTTTTTCTTGCAGACAAGATGAAATAGTCTGTAGACTGCATCTCTCAAGAGGCCAAACGTTGTACTCAGTCCTAGTTTGATGAAAAGCATTATGTTGCAGCAGTACAAGTGCTGCAAGACTACATAAAAAGATTCTTTATGGAGCAGTATTTTCACATAATTTTACAACAAAATTATCAATTTTAATTAAATTTAGTTCAAATTAATGCATTACTTTTTTATTTAAATGATATTTGTGAAAATCGAATATTGACCAAACACTGCAGCCTTCTGCTTAAAATGTGAGTCAGAAAGTGAAAAGGGTCAAAACTAGAAGCCTAAAAATAAACTTGTTCAAAGATGTATTAAATGCAGAAAGAGTGCTAGTACAAAGCATAGTTCTGTAAATGAGATATAAAATCCAAGTGATTTTATGAATTTTCATATTCAACCAGATATGTAAAAAGACTTCTTTCTTGACAACATCCATCAAAAAATACTTACATAAACCTTCAGTTTTTAAAAATATTACTAAAGTAAGTCCTCTAACTTTCCAAAATGTCAGAAGTAATTGTGGAATTACCAAAGTTGAGCTGGACTTCAAGAAAACCTTTTGACACTGTTTACCTCAATATTCTCCTGGAGAAATGGGTTGCTCTTGGCTTTGATCATGTGGACTGTTCACCAAGGGAAAAACTGGCTGGATGGCCAGGCCCAGAGAGTGGTGGGAAAAGGGAGTTCTATCCAGCTGGCAGCCGGTACCAGCGGTGCTCCCCAGGGCTCGGTGCTGGGGCCAGCCCCGATTAATCTCTTTATCAGTGATCTGGATGAGAGGACCGAGGGCACCCTCAGGCAGTTTGCAGACACACCAGGTTGGGTGGGAGTGTCGATCTGCTGGAGAGCAGGAAGGCTCTGCAGAGGGCTCTGCACAGGCCGGATCGATGGGCTGAGGCCGATGGTGTGAGGGTCAGCCAGGCCGGGTGCCGGGGCCTGTCCTTGGGTCACAACAACCCCAGGCAGTGCCACGGGCCAGGACAGAGGGGCTGGGAACCTGCTCGGCACAAAACGACCTGGGGGTGCTGGTGACAGCAGCTGGACATGAGCCAGCCGTGCCCAGGTGGCCAAGAAGGCCAAGGGCATCCTGGCCTGGATCAGCAATGGTGTGGCCAGAGGAGCAGGGCAGGGATCGTTCCCCTGAACTGGTGAGGCCACATCACGAATGCTGTGTCCAGTTCTGGGCCCCTCACTGCAAGGAGGACATTGAGGGGCTGGAGTGAGTCCAGAGAAGGGAAATGGGAGCTGGTGGAGGGTCTGGAGCACAAGTCCTGTGAGGAACAGCTGAGGGAGCTGGGGGTGTTCGGCCTGGAGAAAAGGAGGCTCAGGGGAGACCTCATTGCTCTCTACAACTGCCTGAAAGGAGGCTGTAGCCAGGTGGGTGTGGGTTTCTTTTCCCTAAGTAATAAGGGATAGGACAAGAAGAAATGGCCCCAGGTTGCTCCAGGAGACGTTTTCATTGGATGTCAGGAAACATTTCTTCACCAAAAGAAAGCATTTTCCAGTACTAGAACAGGCTGCCCAGGGAAGTGGTGGAGTCACCATCCCTGGAGGCATTTAAAAGCCATGTAGATGTGGCACTTTGGGACATGGTT